AGGCTATAGACTTTGTAATTACGTGCTATGCATCAGAGAGTTGGACAGTGAATAGGGATGATAAAGAATTGATGCCCTTGAGTTGTGGTACTGGAGAAGAGTGTTGAATATACCACGGACTGCTAGGAATACAAACAGGTTTGTCCTGGAGAGGGTGAAGCCAGAATGTTCCCTGGAGTCAAGGATTCTGAAGCTTCGTCAGACATACTTTAGGCATGTTGCAAGGAGGGACTGGTCCTTGGAGAGGGACATCATGTTTGGGAGAGTGGAGGGACGGGGCAGGAGAGGAAGACCCTCAATGAGATGGATCGATTCTGTGAGTGGAGTGATGGTAATGAATGTGTTTGAGACAGCGAGGTTGGCACAGGATAGAACGGAATTTAGGGTTCTTGTACATAGGGTCTCTATGAGTCGCAAACAACTCGATGGCACATAACAACAACAACAAACACAACCTCCTTGAGGTTTTCTATATTCTACACGCCAGCCTTGTAGGAATCTCGCCTCCAAGTGGTCCCCTGACACCAACTCTGTCAGCCTCTTTCATGTATGAAATGGCTGAGTGGTGTGAGACCAGGTGCTCTACTCAAGTGGTTTCTCATGCTCCTTTTCTACTGGAGCTTAATGTTTTTTCCTTTGTCTGTAGTGGCATGGGATTAAATATCAGGACTGCCAGCTCAAGCAGCTTGCATGCAGAGGGTTTCAAATCAGCGTTATCTTTTGCTGAGAACTACAAAAATTTTTCCTCTGCTTGAGGAAAAATATATTCATGTTTCTTGCAAGGACCTCCAGATGGGGAGGGACCTATATCCCCAAGGATGCCTCAGTCCCATCTCAGTGTCTTACTTTCTTACACTGTCCTTCCACCCTTGTAAGCATGCATGATACCCTTTTCCAAGGACTGGCCCCTCCTGGCAACATGCCTGAAGTATGCCAGATAGAGCTCAAAATCTTTGCCTCCAAGAAGCTACTTGGTTCTACCTTCCCCAGGACAGACCTATTTGTTCTCTTGGCAGGCCTTGGGATGTTCAGTACTCTTCTCTAGCACCAACTCAAACACATCTTTAGTCAATGTACAGTTCTCTTATGCATAGCAATTGGTTGTGAAAACAGTGACATGAGAGTTCTGGTGGCCTAGCAGGTAAAGAGTTTTGCTGCCTAGAAATACATATCCTATAGAGTAGCTGGTAAATTTAAACTGCATGTCTTTTGGTTGGCAGCACAACTCTTAACCCACTTTGCTACCGGAACTCCCTCCATTTATTTAGAATTTTTTTATTAGTATATTTCATTGATTCTATGATACTCTTCCCCCCTCCCCCAATTTTTACATCTCTGAATTCAAGCTACATTGACAATAAGCAGATAATTCAATGAAATCTAGTGGTTACAAACATATTAATCTTCTTTTTCTCATGTAAAAAAGCAATCAGATTTGTTTAACTTGAAACTTAGAACATTTGGTAACACTGTCTTCATTCTTTCATAGAACTTTTAGCATGGAATATGGATTTAACCGTTGCCATATTTGATAATATCACTGAGAAACTTCTTAAATGTGGATTCTTCCTCCTATTAAGAATAGTAAAAGAGGAGTCCAGGCTCTACCAAGCAAGCAAAGAAGAGATTTATTGGGGAAAGCATTTTTCAAGGGAATATCTGAAAGGCTTAAGTGAGGGTAACCCAGGATCCACCCAATAAGATAATTTTTTGGCTTATAAAGATTTGGGTGGGAAGGAGTTTCATGGTTATTCAAAAAAGAAGATGAATAATTCTTGGAAATAGCCCATCTGGGAGAGGTTATGATAATTAAATATATAAGCAGCTGGATTCTCCCAAATGGTCTCTGTTACAGAGACTTTTAGTGCAAGAGACATCACTTATGAAGGGATGGTGCACCTACAATGTGTAGTAAGATCCTCTAGTTCAGTCCCTCTATCTGGTAGGTCATTTTACTTCTTGCTTGAGAAGGCCAGCACTAGGTCATAACTAGTATTTTTTAATATGCTCTAGGACCTGAAGTGAACTAGTTTTGCCTCTGTGCAGGTTTTCAGGAAGTTAGTCTATAGAGAACAATTTTTTTAAGGGCATTATTGTTTATTTTCTTCAAATTAAAAAAAAAAAATTCTAATCATAAGACTAAAATCTCTACAGTTAGACGAAACTGCAGTTTCCAAAAATGGAGTCAACCTTTTGGGGCACCACAACGATAAAGAAATACTGCAAAATCAATGGCATCAAGACTTGACATCAGATCACAGAAAGTCTTATTTAAAGAAAGAGTGAATGTGTGTGTGAATTCTACCACCCATGTAAGGTAGGGAGGTATTTGGAAGGCACTGTATCAGGTGTATCCTTCAGCATAAAAGGTGGACCTCTGAGAGGCTGACTTCAGTCCTTGTCACTGGGCAGGAGGGGACCAAAAGAATGCCATCTTGCCAAATTTAAATTCATGACAGTTGTGACTACTGTAAACAGTGAGTCAATTCTATTGCAAAAGCAATTGTAGCACAAGCCCTTATATCCCTTCTAACACTAGACACTCTCCTATCTAAAATAGTAACATACTTTCTTCTTTTAGTTTTCCTATATTTCCCACATTTTCATGCCCTAATTTTCTACAGTCATTTCTACTTTTCATTAGAAATCTATTAACAAATAAATACACAACTCTCAACCTCTTATTTAAATACACCGAGAAGATCCAGTGGGACCATAAAACAAGGAAAGCTTTTCTTTGTTTCAAGGACATATTTTGACACCTTTTTTCTAGCCATCTAGATGTGAGGTTTTTTTGGTACACCAATGTGCATAGCAGTGTTATTCACCATCACAAGAACATGAAAATAGCCCAAATGTCCAACTACAGTTGAATGGATTGAGAAATTATGGTACATTCACATAGTTGAATATTATGCAGCACTAAGGGGTAATGATTTTGTAAATTACTACCTAACTTGGGAGGAATTTGAGAGCACTATACTGAGTGAACTAACTCAGTCCCATAAGGACAAATACTGTATAAAACTATTATTGTAGAATGAGTATGAGGATCCAAGGGGATGGTGGAAGCAGAAGTGTGAGATTGGGCATGGTGGTGTTAATCATAGGGTCACATAATTTGATAGGTGGGGGTGGAAATGGGAAAGATCTGATGTGAAAAACAATGTATTCAAACTTTGTAAATAAACCAGTATAATATGAAAAAAAAAACAATGTCTTATCACAAAGGAGGATTAGAAATTATGAGGTGTTAATTAGCAGCCTCCCTGAATTTACAGCCTTTTTAAAGGAGAATGATGGGCCTTTTCCTCTCAAAAATTTACAGCCTCAAAAACCTGATGAAGGATCACTATGAACTGGAATTGACTCAAAATCAATGAATAGGTTTAAATTAATTTTAGATGCCTATCTGGTTACTATTCAAGTAACTCTTGGTTTATTACTCATCTTCACATATACATAAATATATTCCAAATTGTATTAACTAATTTATCACATTTTACTACTGTTTCTCCTTTTCCACCATCAGGATCTCCTACTTTTGGATTAAATGTCTTCGTGCATCCATTCCATCATGAGTGAGATACAATAGAAATTGTTAAATTTTAAATATATGTTAAATTTTAAATATACTTATTTTATAATTGTAATCTATCTCAAACCAACAGACTGAATAACAGGGAGAAGTACTGTTTAAATTTCAATTTATATTTATACTTTTTTATATAGACATACTGTGATCTCAGCTGCGGTGTTGGTAGCTAAAGCTACCCCTTTGGTTTCCAGCTGCCTTAACTGCAGACATGTGGTTTTGCAAATCATTAACAACTGTAGGACTAGGATAAGAGAGCAAGTGCTTCTCACACTGAGCAGCAAAACTTGAGGGAGACTAGAGTGAGGCCCTGCTGAGAGCAAGACCCTGATGAAGGAGAGACTTTGATAAAGGTGAGACTGTGGTGATGGTGGTAGGAAGACTTTGGCACTTCTGCAGATAACAGTGCTTTGGCATACACTGTGGCAAGGTGTAACCAGAGGAGCCCTAAGATAAAGGCCACAGTTAGAGGTTTTTCTGTCTTTGCCAAATGATTAAAGTAGAAGCTACAACTGCTGTGAGGCAAACCTTGGTGGATGATTGAGGAAACCAGATGCTTCTTGAATTTGTGTTGCTAATCTAAAACCAGAACTTTTACTAATCAAGGAATTATACTTTACTGTTAGTCTGGCTTGGGACTGCTGAGCTAAATGTACACTTGTGTTGTGAGATAGTCTGTTCCTCCCACTACCCAACCTATTTCCCTAATAAACCACACTCTTGATACAACTGTCAGTAAAGTCTATGAGTCAACAGTGAATATCAAGCTTGGTGATTAGTTGAAATAGGTGCAGGAGCATGGGGAGTGATGTGTCTGACCTAGTAGCTGTTTGCTGCTATGTTTGCTGCTATGGATTTTACTTATTGGAACAGTTCCCCTTTACAAAGACTCAGACTCAGCCATCCTCACATTGCACCAGCTCCTTTCATGTCAGCAAACTTACAATTTTTAATATCTTAATATTTGTGAAAAAATTATGGAAAGAAATTAAATGTGAGAAGCCAAGCATCTAAATGTTTTTTCTTCTTTGTTGAAGGAGTCAAGATTACTCATATCAGAAATCATTTTATCATACTGGAAGGTAAAATTTCCAGATCCTCCTACAAGAAAAATTTACTTTCCTATTAATTATCAGCAACTATAATGATAATTTATTGAGATAAAATAGCCAAAATACTTAGCAACATTCAGCTTTACTTTCTAATGTATGAAAATGTAAGCCAAAATATACATTAGAGGAGGGTGATTTGGACTTATTAGAGGGCTACATTTAGCTTACTGTCTTATAAATTTGAAATAGCGTTTGCACTAGAGCAAATTGATTAAAGTTTCAGTTGGTTTGGAGTTAAGAGTGAAGAATGAGAGGAAGTCAAAACATGTATTGTGCTGATCTTATTGTTTCAGAAAGCAGAACATGGAGGTTTAAATTGGATCATTCCAGACCGATTTATTGCCTTCTGTGGACCTCATACAAGAACCAGACTTGAAAGTGGTATGTCAAAACATGAAAATGTGGTATGAGTTTGTTTTTGCTGTTAAAGTGTCCATCTCCTGCTTCAATTTGAAAGGAAAAAAGAATTCAATTAAATCCAAGTCTTTATTCTTTAAATTAATTGATCATTTGAGTATATCCCTTTTTTCCCTTTTTTAAAATTGTATTTTTATAGTGTGGTAAAATGAGTATTCTCAGGTTCAGATGGTAATGAAGGAAGACATTAAATCTGCACTGAAGACATTGGAAAAAATATTGCCCCAGGAATTGATGAGAGATGAACTAACATGTTTTAACAAACAGTTGAAATTCTGTACATGCTCACCAGTATGTGCCAAGAAATTTGGAAAACAACCACGTAGCCAACTGACTGAAAGAGATCCCTAACTCTGTTCCCCAAAAAGGTGATCCAACAGAATGTGGAAACAATATCACATGCAAGTAAAATCTTGCTGAAGAGTATCCAAAATCAGAAGGATGTCTGTCTGTGTTTTATTGACTATGCAAAGACATTTGTGTGGGTCATAACAAATTATGGCTCACACTAAGAATAATGGGAACCCTAGACCACTTAATTTTGCTTATATGAAACCTATACTTAGATCAAGAGACTGTTGTGCAAACAGAGCAAGGGAACATTGCATGGTTGAAAATTAGAAAGGTGAACGTCAAGGATTTAACCGTTTTCCATACGTATTAAGTCTGTATACTGAGCAAATCCTTTGAGAAGCTGGACTGTATGAAGAATGTTGTGTCAGAATCAGAGGAAGACTCTTAACAAGCAGCGTTATGGAGATGATAGAACCTTGCTTGCTGAAAGCAAAGAAGACTTGTAATACTTGCTACAAAAGGTCAAAGACTACAACCTTCAATATGGTTTACATTTCAATATCAAGAAATAAAATTCCTCACTACCAGACAAATAGACAACATCCTGATAGATGAAGGAAAGTCCAAGTTGTCAATGATTACATCTTATCTGGATGCACAATCAACACCCTTGATAACAACAGTTGAGAAATAAAAAGAAATGTGGCATTGGGAAAATCTGTTATCAAGGACCTTTCCAAGGTGTTCTGGAGCAAATGATGTTAGTTTAAAGACTGAGGTGAACCTGATGTAATCTATAGTCTTTTCAGTTACTTCCTGTGCTTCTGAAAGGTAGACAGGGATTAAGGATGACAGAGAATCAGTGTCTTTGACTTGTGGTATCCCATGTAATGTAATTTCAAAAACCAAATATAACTTGGATAAAGTGCATCTAAAGTGCTTCTTAGAGACAAGGATGGTGAAACTTTATTTCACATACTTTGAGGCCAGTCTTTGGAAAAGAACACTATACTTGGAAATGTTGAGGATCAGCAAAGGAGAGGAAGACCCTTTAAGATAAGAATTGGCATAGTGACGGTTGCAATGGGGTGGAGTACATCAGGGTTGATGAGGATGGTGCAGAATCGGACAAGGTACAAAACCTTTGTAGATTGTTGTTGTTGTTGGTAGGAGCTATCCAGTCAAGCACAAGTCATAATGACCCTGTGAAAAATAGATCTGAACCCTGTCCTATCCTGTGCCATGCTCACAATTTCTAACACTCTCAAAGTTGCCACTGTCACTATGCCAATCCACCTGGTTGAAGGTCTTTGTCTCTTTCATTCTTCCCAAGCATGATATCCCTCTCAAAGGAATAACATCACTTAGCAACATGCCTGAAGTATGAAAGATAAAGCTTCATCATCTTTGACTCTGAGGAGCACTGTGGTTGCACCTTCTCCAAGACATATCTGTTGTTGTTTTGGCAGTCCATGATATCGTCAGCACTATTCTCTAGTTCAAATGCATCAATTCCTCTTCTGTCATCCTTATACATTGTTCATCTCTCATATGCCTGATAAGTGACTGAAAAGACCATGGCCTGAATCAGGCACACCTTTGTCCTCAAACTAACATCATTACGCAATAACAGTGTGGTACATCGCCTAATCTGCTGACTGCTAGTACCAAGTGATTTTTGGATTCAAGTAAGATTAAATTTTTTACAGTCTTAGTCCTTTTTCCATCCATCATGATGTTGCCTGTTGGTCCAGTGGTGAAGATTTTTGGTTTTGCAAGCATGTTGAGATGCAATCCATATTGAAGGCTGCAGTGTTTAACCTTCTTTTCATAAATTAATTGTGAACTCCATGACACTTAACAGCATCAGTTCAAATGTTTCTACCCAATGACTGTTAAAACTTTTATCTATTATTTTCTTTCTTTATTTTAAAAGACCTACTGTATTTCTTTATGTAGGTTACCACCAACATTCTCCTGATACTTATATTCCATATTTTAAGAATCACAATGTTACTACTATTATTCGCCTGAATAAGAGGATGTATGATGCCAGACATTTTACAGATGCTGGTATCAATCACCATGACCTTTTCTTTGCTGATGGCAGCACCCCTACTGATGACATTGTCAAAGAATTTCTGAATATTTGTGAAAATGCTGAAGGGGCTATTGCAGTCCATTGTAAAGGTATGTGTTTAGAATTAATTCAAGAATAGTATCTGTGTATGTGTAAATATGTCAAACACCTACTCTTTATTAAATTTTATGTCAGGGTATATTTTAAAAGAATACTTTTAAAACTTTAATATCATAGGAAGGAATAGTAATTTGAATTGTATGGATAGGAAACTCTGAAAAGGCTTATTTCACTGAAATGTATTAATTTATTCATAAAATATCTTTTGGGCACCTAAAATATGGTAGGTTCTAGGGTACATCAGGGGTTTTAATTACACTTAGGAGTAGGGTATTACTAGCATCTAATAGGGAGAGCCCAAGAATGTTTATTCTACAAGGACCACTTGTAGATCTATCTTAAAATACAATGTTATGAGTGACAGAATAATATCCATACACATACAAGGAAGATGTGTTAATATCACTATCATTTAAATTTATGCACCAACAACCAGAGCCAAAGAGGAGGAAATAAATGACTTCTACTAACTGTTGCAATTAAAAATCAAATTGATTGAACATGGAACCAAGAAGAATTAGTAATAATAGGTAATGGAGTTGCAAAATTTGGGAACAAAAAAGAAGAATCAGTAGTCAGGAAATATGGACTTGGTGACAAAAATGAGGCTGGAGACAAATAATAGAATTTGGTACAATCTGTTGCAGACCAAGGGTAAAGTATTTTCATAATTATTAATAATGAGACAGACAGCCAGGAAAGAGATAGAACAGAGAGCATAAAACAGGGGGCCTGCAGTTCTTGACTGACGGGCCTCAAGCCACGCCTCTCTGTTTATTTATTGATAATTAGGTGAAGCAAATCATAAAAAGAATTCCTTGTAAATGAAGCTGAATTTTTCTCTGTTGTCAACCTAATGCTCTAGCTCAAGAAGTATTTCACATAGTAACACTCCCTCTGTAGGGGGCCCCTAGCTGTCTCTTGTCTGCAGGGAACAAACAGTTCATTTTCTGTGATCTATCACAAGAGAAATCCTAATTTATAAATTAGTAAATCCTTCAATTCCTGAACAAGGGTTTTCGTATAATATTTGGTATGAAGTTTGGCTTCCCATATTTCCCCCCTTTTGTTTTATCATAATTATGTTATCATCTAGATGAGCATCTTCTCTTCTTTGATTCATTCTTGCTTGTTTTTGTTCTCTCCATCCTTTATGCACAAACAAATAAAACAAATTAAATATAATAAACTCAAAGAAATACTTTTAAAAATCTCCATATGATCAGAAGGATTCAGTTTGAATATTCCTTGAGAGTCTCTTTTAATTAACCTATTGCCACAGTACTAGTCAAAACCAGTTCTAATCAATCTCCTTTGTCAACATGTCTTTTGCCGTTCCCTGTCACTCCTCCCTGATAGAAATTTCACCCTGATTCATTAGGAGAGGGGGCACCACATTCTTTTAGCTACTTCCTGCTGGTAAAGGGCACTGTAGGTCTCAGGGTGACGATCTTCTCTCACTACTCTACAGGGCCCTTTAGGCAATAGGAAACACGTAGACTATTGTGGAGACTGATTTTGGAATTTAGATGCACTGTTATCAGCTGTGCTTAGGGATACAGGTTCATGTCCTTGGAGGTGCATTATGGAACTGGTGCAGCCTACAAGACACAAATTTAACTAACAAGTTAAAAATACATGAGTCAAAAATTAAAAGCAATAATATTCCTGCTAGAGGTTCTAACAGTGGCACAATTCAAGTTCTTAAAATAAATCTTATTGGCTGGCACTTTGTCTATTATAGTATAAAGGTTAGGGACCACAAGATATAGAGACATAACTATGTCATTTATTAGAAACCACAAGATGTAGGGACATAATAATGTCATTTATTGTTCTTAAGTCCTGGACCAACTTCCATTTACCATTGGGTCTTACAGCTAGGAAGTCCACATGTATAAAAAAACTGCTTACTAGGTTTTCCATCAAATCCAACAACTAAGGAATAGCAGAAAGAGAGTGGACCTGAGAAGGCTTTTAGGACCAAATAATGGGCTCTTCTGTCCAGGCAAAAACTGATATACTTGCAGCAACATTAAAGCTCACCCCATGGCTCTTCTGGGAGGACCTGAATCGTTGAAGTGTCCTCCTTTGTTTCCAGCTGGGAGCCAGGGCCTTTCAGTCCTCTGTTGGCCCATGAGGACCTGATGTGGGCCACCCTTGGCCAAGTGTCCTTCAGATCCACACTTCAAGCAAGTGAGTGGGGAGTTTCCTCTCTACTCCCTTGCTAAGTTGTGGTTCTCATTTGTGACACTGTCTACTAAAGTAGCCCAGCTTTCCACAGTAGAAGCAATTCTGACCTCCTTTATTACCTTTGGGTGGCATTGTTTATGAGTAAGACTTCCTTTTCTTGACACAGGACCTAAACTGGCGGCAATAGCTGCCCCAATAATTTTGGCCATTCTCTGGTCTTTTCTCTTCCCTCTAGATCCTAGTTGTTAAAAGAGGGAAAATTTTAAACAAATATATAACAAATAATTTTGAACAGTATAATATTTTAAATTCAAGGCTAGTAATATTATCAAAATGATTGTATGAATAATTTCCAATCCAAAGAGATAAATGTTTCAATGCATTTCCTATTTTTCATAAATGTTTTTGGTAAGAGAAATACTGTGGATGTGGATGTGGATGTGGATACAGTTCTACTCTTCCTCCTCCATGCCACAATAGAGTGTTATTAGCATGAGCAGTTATAAATCTATTGCCTTCCTTACTCTAACATAAATTTTTGGTGTTCCTATGATGATAAGCAGAACCAACAAGCCTCCAATCAATGACACTTCCATAGGAAGTATTAATTAAAACTCATCTTTGCTCTTCTCAACATTGTTTCCAATATATCCATACTCTAAGAAAGATAAAGGAAGCAACTGACAGGGAGGAATATCAGGATAACTCAAAGTTGTTACTGGTATCTCTATGAAAACTATACACTTGGAACATCTACTAGAGAAATATATTACCCAAAACTTTATAAAGCCAATAAACTACTTTTAACAAGAGAATATTAGAAATATATGCCCAATAGCTGGTATTATCTGCCATTCTGCAGCTTTGCCCTCATCAAAGTGTGGCCTCTTTTGACTCATCTTGGGGTTTCACCTTTTAGGGGGGCACCCACAGCATTTCTGAGCCTGTAAAGATATAAGCAAATCCTTGCCCCCACTTAATAGCAAATCCCTTTTTCCATTCATTAGTTAGAGGTTCTTCATAATATATAGGCTGATTCAATTCTTTAGATGATTGTAATACCAAATGTCTTTCAGTTGGAGTTTCTCCTTTCTCATTAGCGTTTAAAAAATTTAAAGTAAATAAGGCTTTTTGTGAAATAGTTCACGGAGATGACATTCAACCTGTCACATCTCCCCCCTTGTTTTTTTCAACCTAGTTTGTAAAGTCAAATTAGCCCTTTCTATTATAGCTTGTCCTGCAATGACATAATAAAAGCATATAATTCAACCTGTTGAACAGAAGTCAAATTAGTTTTCACTACTTTATTATCTTTACCATTAGTATAACCTACATAACCCATCTTATCTGCTTGCAAAGGTGAAGTTTTTATTTTAACTGATAGTATCCAATTAGTCCCTTAACCTGATTTATGGTTATTACAAACAGTGCAAAGTTGCAAGGACTAGTGATTTAATATGACTTGCTCAATGTTGTTCTTGAACTAAGTGTTCTAAAACTTCTAATTTCTCTCTTGTTAGGGGCCACTGCTCCACCCAAATTGTTTTTTCCTGCTAGCCAAGCTAAGGGGAGAACATGAGGAACAGTGGCCCTCATTATAAATTTGGATATCTTAATCCTTTTCTTGAAAGATTAAATTTGGGTTTTTAAAAATTAACAATCCCTCATTTCTTTTTATTCAGCATCTTATTTTTTGATGGAGTTGAAATAGTGGGAATTTGTAATGTTACTCCCCACTTGTCAAATAAAGGTCTGCATTCATTAGTCCAATGATACCCTTTCCCACATTTTCTAAAAAGCCCTAAAGGCATGGATTTTTTTCTTTACATCTCTACTTGCCCTTCTTTCTTTCCGACAATCTCTTTTCAAATGTCCTAATTTTCCACAATTGTAGCATTTAGTTTGAGACAAATTTAAAGTTCCTCTTAAAGCAGCAGCTATTAGATTGGCTTGATAAGAACTAGTTCCAATGTCCATACAAGCATGTATATATATATTCATCTAGGGAAGCATTCTGAGTCTTCAATAGTCTAATAGCCTTTTGACATTTTGAATTAGCATTTACATATGCTAAAATTTTTAACAAAAGCTCATGAACCTTGGGTTGAGATACTGCTCTATCAATTGCATCCTTTAATCTAGATAGAAAATCATTATATTTTTCAGATTGTGTTGTTCTGATAAAAGATTGATCTCTCTTTCCTGAAATTTCTACTTTATCCCAGGCTTGAATACAGCAAAGCCTTACTTGTACAATCCCAGCATCATCATATTGTAACTGAGCTTGTAGTCCAAGCCATTGACCTCTCCCCAACAATTGATTAGCAGTAACATTAACAGGAGGATTTCTAGATAAATTAATCCTCTCTATATTTGTAGCTTCATCATTCCACCAAGTTCTAAACTGTAAATATGCTCCAGATTCCAAAACTGTCCTGACCATGGGCTCCCAATCATAAGGAATCAATCTAAATTCTGTAGTTAATCCTTGTAATATGCCTCTTACATAGGTAGAATGCATACCGTAAGAAACTATGGCTTGCTTTAATTCTTTAATTGTCTTATAAGATAATGACTGATGTTGATACACTTGATACCCTTGGGGATATTCTTGATCAGGAGGCATATCCTGAATTGTTACTGGAAATACAGAAGCTCCTTTCCCCCCAATTAGATAAATCATCTCGCTTTGCCTGTTACAAGTCCCTGGACATGGCTGTTAAATGTGTCTTACAAGTAGTTACTCCCAACAAAGCATGTTTCATAACATAGAATCTGGAACAGTTGCTGCGGATGG